ACCACTATGTGTAAGGCAGACTTTAAACGAAGGCAGAGGTAGTTCTAAGAACCCTTTCATACTGCTTGAATGTGTAGGTTCTCAGCTTCACACTACAATATACTCTCATCAAACACCCCTGATTATCACGATTCATGATAGATTTATTCCCTTTATTCATTTTCTTCCACTCAGAAAAGCTTATCAGGAAATGAATGAGAAGGATATTCGATATTTTAGGGTATAAATCTAATATAAATCATTCATAAATGTCAGTATTTGATCCCTGGTAAAAATGACTTGGGACATACCCACATTTAGACCCATTAGTGTAATGAAATTATAATCATATTCAAGAGAAGCTAGAGATTTTTTGCACAATCAAAACCTTATACTCCAAAAAAAGAAAAATATCAATACAAACAAGAAATAAGATTCATCAAGTATAATTCATTATATAGCAAGCATTATAGTAAGTGCTTTCATGAATTATATCATTTAATCTTACTAACATATCATTTAATCTTAACCTTATTAGGTAGGCACTATTATTTCCATTCTTTTTTTGAGACAGAGTCTGGCTCTGTCGCCCGGGCTGGAGTGCAGTGGCCGGATCTCAGCTCACTGCAAGCTCCGCCTCCCGGATTTACGCCTTTCTCCTGCCTCAGCCTCCCGAGTAGCTGGGACTACAGGCGCCCGCCACCTCGCCCGGCTAGTTTTTTGTATTTTTTAGTAGAGACGGGGTTTCGCCGTGTTAGCCAGGATGGTCTCGATCTCCTGACCTCGTGATCCGCCCGTCTCGGCCTCCCAAAGTGCTGGGATTACAGGCTTGAGCCACCGCGCCCGGCCTATTATTTCCATTCTTATAAGAGGAAAAACTTTAGCAATGTTAAGCAATTTGCCCAAGGTCACATAGATGTAAACTGGGATACAAAACCTGGGAGTCTAAATCCAGAGTCAAAAACCTGGGAATCTAATCCCAAAGCCAATAATCTTATACACACTAATCAACAGCCAACACTTAGAACCAAAGCATAAATCATTTAAATTAACCAACCCTCAGTTTCTAATTATCTAATTTTTAACATTTTACTGGAAAAAGAAAGGCAGGCCTGGGGGTGGCTCACACCTGCAATCAAAACACTTTGCGGGGACAAGGAGGGAAGATCGCTTGATACCAGGAGTTCAAAACAAACCCAAGCAACGTATCGACAACCAGTCTCTATAAATAAAAAGAAAATTAGCTGGCACAGTGGTGTGCATGCGTAGTCCCTGCTACTCAAGAGACTGAGGCAGGATATCACTTGAGCCCAGCAGTTCCAGGTTACAGTGAGCTTTGACCCCACTACTGCACTGCACTCCAGTCTAGGCCAGAGTAAGATGCTGTCTCAAATTTTTTTTTTTTTTTTTGAGACGGAGTCTCGCTCTGTCGCCCAGGCTGGAGCACAGTGGCCGGATCTCAGCTCACTGCAAGCTCCGCCTCCCAGGTTTAGGCCATTCTCCTGCCTCAGCCTCCCGAGTAGCTGGGACTACAGTTACCTGGGACTACTAGCCACCTCGCCCAGCTAGTTTTTTGTATTTTCTTAGTAGAGACGGGGTTTCACCGTGTTAGCCAGGATGGTCTCGATCTCTTGACCTCATGATCCGCCCGTCTCGGCCTCCTAAAGTGCTGGGAATTTTTTTTTTTTTTAAGAGACGGTCTCACTCTATCACCCAGGCTGGAGTGCAGTGGTACAATCTTAGCTCACTGCAACCTCCACCTCCCAGGTTCAAGCGATTCTCCTGTCTCAGCCTCCAGAGTGTAGCTTAGACTACAGGCGTGTGTCACCACGCTTGGCTAATTTTTCTATTTTTAGTAGAAACGAGGTTTTGCCATGTTGGTCAGCCTGCTATAGAACTCCTGACCTCAAGTGATCTGCCCTCCTTGGCCTCCTAAAGTGCTAGGATTACAGGCATGAGCCACCATGCCATGCCCCACCTCAAAATTTAGTTTAAAAAAAAAAAAAAAAAAAAATTTAATTTTAAAAGAAAACGGGAAGAAATGAGAAGAGCCAGTAGGCACAAGGGGCTTTTACATTAACAGACTTAGGGTTTGGTCTGCTGCTACAGTACTGGCTTCTTACAATACATTCTGAAATTTATTTTCCTTTTTCCTTGGTGTGTTTCCCTGACAGTGCTTCATAATTCCTATAGAAGATATGTATGTGTGTGAGCATTACAAGAACCGTTAAACTGGAAATAAAATTATCTAGCAATGGAAAATTGGGAAATCATGAAGTATTTATATAATAGGATATTATACAGCTATTAAAATACATTTAAAAACCTTTAATAAAAGATGAAAAACTTTATAATACAATATTAAATGAATGCAAGGTATAAAGTTTTCGTTTGTTCTGGTGTCACCCCTGAGGTATGAACTCAGAAGGATATAAAATTTTATAATCTCTGATTTCGTTTTTAAAGACACACATACACTCTGACATATATACATAAAAATATATTAACACGTCAAGAAATCTCACAGTGCATGGTATCATACACATCAGTCTTTTTTTCCTTTTTTAACATACAGCTTCGCTCTGTCACCATAACTGGAGCGTACTGGAGTGATCACAGCTCACTGCAGCCTCAACATCCCAGGCTCAAGCGATGTTCCAGCCTCAGCCTCCCAAGTAGCTGGGACTACAAGTGCATACCACCACAGCTGGCTAATTTTTTAAATTTTTTGTAGAGATGGGCCATGTTGCCCAGGCTGGTCTCAAACTCCTGGAATCAAGGGATCTGCCTGGCCTCCCTGAATGCTGAGTTTACAGGCATGAGCCACCATACCAAGCCCAGCTATTTTTTAAAAGACTTCCTGGCCAGGCACAGTGGCTCACGCCTGTAATCCCAGCATGTTGGGAGACCGAGGTGGGCAGATCACTTGAGGTCAGGAGTTCGGGACCAGCCTGGCCAACATGGTGAAACCCCATCTCTACTAAAAACACAAAAATTAGCCAGGCATGGTGGTGCATGCTTGTAATCCCAAATACTCGGGAGGTTGAGGTGGGATGATTGCTTGAACCCAGGAGGCAGAGTTTGCAGTGAGCTGCACCACTGCACTCCAGCCTGGGTAACACAGTGAGACTTCGTCTCAAAAAAAAAAAAAATTTCTTGTAGAGACAAGGTCTCACTACATTGCCCAGGCTGGTCTCAAACTCCTGGGCTCCTGGGCTCAAGCAAGCTTCCCATCTTGGCCTCCTAAAGCATAGGGACTACAGGGGTGAGCCACCATGCCCAGCCAGGGTCTTTTTTTCTTCACTAAGCTTTTTGCACACCAGAAAGAAGTAACATTTTTAAAGCTTTTGCTGCTTCCAAGGCTACACTTACTACTCTGAAATTTATAATGGCTCTAAAAATAGCTATTTTTATGCTGATCATTTATTTTGGGGAATATTTAAATTTATGGTCAATCAGAAATTTGAAAGACTACTCAAATTATCAGCTTTTTAAGTTGAACTGTATTAATGGTAAGAAACAGTAACCTACTATATAATACTTTATTACTTACAATAAACTTCTACATACATCCTATACCTACTAAGACCCCACTCCTATACCTACTATTGACAGGGAATTAAGTGGGGGACCATAGACACTAAATGCCTTGCTTGAAGTTATTTAGCAAACGATTGAGCCTTGGCTTACACACCTTTCATCCCTAGTCCCCTACTCCTTTCACTGTATCATGCTGTCTTCTCTAACATGTCTCCCTAATTCCTTTTACTAAAAGCTGAAGGACCTAAATTTCCACTTTAAGACTACAAACTCATGTACTAAAAAAAACTGTATTAACAAGAAAAAGACTGGAAATCAAAAATAAAATATCATCTATTTAATGACAATGCCCATGCCTGAAATTCTGGAGTACTACCAAGGCATAATTACAAATGAAGTAAAAACAGGCCTTTTCACCAAGTACCAATAATAAAATAGAAAAGCACCCTTTAGCACTGAAAAAGATACATTTATATGTAATCATGCCATGTTATTTTGTAAGCAGTATATATAAAGGAAAAAATAAGAGCTTTGGCATTACATAGACCTGGGCATAAATCCTGGTTCTGCAACTTTTTAGCTGTGTAACCTTGAGAAAGGTGCATAACTTCTTTAAGCCTCAATCTTATCAGTAAACACAGGGTTAATACTTCCTGCCCCAAGAACAAAGGTTAAATAAGTTAACATGAAGGCAAGTGCTTTCCAAACTCTAAAATGTGCAAGAAACAAAACATACAGAAACCCTCAAGAAAAACATTTAAATCAGTTCAGAAGTAAGTATCTCATGGCTGGGTTACTGAAGAAAGTATGGTATTGTAAGGCACATTCCTAGTCAGTTGTCTTTGCAAAAAAGTGACAGTGTTAGAAAGAATACTGTTAGATCAGACACAGATTTAAGTCTTCCCCAGACTTGACAGGACCCAGTCTACGACCATAAATAAACTCTTACCACTTCCTCTGCCGAAAATAAAAAAATTAAAGCATCCCAAAAAAGTGTATGAAATAATAGAAGAAAACAAACTGCAATTTCAAAGAAAAAACAGAAAACAGTAACTTTGTTCAACCTTACCTACTCCTTAGAAAAATATGCTTTGCTTGTTTAATTATTTTTTCCAGAAGCCCTTCACTGGATTGTAATGAATTAATTTCATTTTTATCAAAAGCTTGAGGACCTGAAAGTCTCATTCTCTTGTGGCCAAAAGGGGCACTTGCTGGATGAGGCATCATGATGGAACTCAAGGTCTGTTTATGAAACTAACAAAAACAGTCATTTTAAATAACTAATATCCACATTAGTAAACGCTACACAATATTTAATCAAAACATGGCTGACATCTTAGAAACACTGAAAGGAATGGATTTGAACCACATATGAAAACAATCCAACCTTGGAGAAAAATGCTAGCATCCACTAGGTCACACTTAATGCAAGTCTGTAAAGAGAAGGTCCCTCTCAAGCTGTAACTTTTTTCCTTTTCTCATGTCAGATGGGTAACGCGCCGACATCCTAATAAGGTTTGAGGGAGTCACAACTCACGCATGAGCATGAAAGCCCAACATGCTTTTGAACCACAAAAGGATCTCAAGCTTTTTTATTTTAAAAGTTTTAAAATATAAAACAATCCTCTTCATTGAGTCTCATAAATAGAACAAATACAATCAGTAAATAGTTCTTTCACTATACCCTAGATTAGAGGTTCTCAAACCCGGCTGCCTATCTGAACCTCCTGAGGAGCTTTTTAAAAACAACTCTTGTATCATCACAATCAACTGAACCAGGTTTTGGGGTTGGGCAGGGGAGGTTGTAATATATACTTCTACGAAATTTCACAGGATATTCTTCTGAAATTACCCTGGCCTGTGAACCAGCTCCCTGGAAACAGGTGCAGATGATCTACAAGTAGAACATGTCCTAAAATAAAACTAGTCTGTTCACAGACTCTGGCAAGACATTTTCCCTTACCTCCCCCAGTCAGAATCACCCTTCCCTCTGCACTTTAGCACCATGTTTCTTACACCTCTACTTTAAAACCTGTATATCTCTACCACTAGAAGGTATGCTTGGGAACAGGGACAGTATTCTGATTATCTCTATTCCCCTAGGAAACAGCAAGGATCTTTCATATCAGACAATGAATGTTGTTCTATGTGAATAATCAAGACTCAGCAGAGGAGCGGGATGCTTTGTGCATACTCACTGCCCTGGACATGCTCACCACAGTGCAAAGAAATACATTTATTTCCTTACCTCTCTAATCAGTAGATGCAAATTATGCTCTAGGACATAAAGGTGGTCCTCTGGACATTGCTTCTCAGTAGTAGATTTTTGGGATTTCTTATCATTTGAGGAATGGCACAAAGAAATAGATAACTGCAAATCTATTTATAAAAAGGAGGAGGACAGATACAAATAACCTGAAATATGGAAAGGTACAAACTATCTTCATAAAGTATAATCATAGCTCATTTTCAAAAGGTATATTCTAAACTTGAAGATCAGACCTAATGATTAACATCTGTATATCAAGATTACTATTCGGGTGGGTGCGGTGGCTCACGCCTGTAATCCCAGCATGTTGGGAGGTCAAGGCGGGCGGGTCACAAGGTTAGCGGATCAAGATCATCACGGCCAACATAGTGAAATCCCGTCTCTACTAAAAATACAAAAAAATTAGCTGGGCATGGTGGCGTGTGCCTATACTCCCAGTAGCTCAGGAGGCTGCGGCAGGAGAATCACTTGAACCAGGAGGTGGACGGGTTGCAGTGAGCCAAGATCACACCATTGCACTCCAGCCTGAACAATAAAATGGAAACTTTATCTAAAAAAAAAAAAACAAAAAAACTATTCATGAATATAATAAACTACAATGTATTTTAATAATTCAAATTCTGTTGACATATAATATGGCTGCTGCCCTTGAACTGTGGCTAAAGACTGGTGAAAAATCTATATATTAATTCGTTTTTTCCTTTAAAATAAGAGTTGGTAGTCAGTCTTACTGTGTAAAAGACAGTCTTCCCTGCTCCCATGAGAAGTAGGATGGAATTTCTCACTGCTAAAACCTACTTCCCTCTAAAGACGACAGTCCTTAGAATTTATGTAAAAAACAAGTGCAAAGCTAAATACAAACTGATCCCCGGGGCAAGTCTACCTGCTTTTGAATAATACAATGAAAATCCAGTTTCTACAAATTTGAGACTATTATAAGTAAACTTTTTCTTTTTTTCAAATTTTTTTTTGTTTTAGTAGAGATGGGATTTCACCATGTTGGCCAGGCTGGTTTCGAACTCCTGACCTCAGGTGACATGCCCGCCGCGGCCTCACATAGTGCTGGGATGACAGGCGTGAGAGTAAACATTTTTAAATTGGCCTCTCATTTAGACAATTAAGGCAGGATCTCTGAAAAATCTCCCTTCAAAGCAACTGTTGCTAAATAACTGTAGCTACGCTAGCACAAATGTTCTTTTCTCTTGACCACAATAATGACTACATAAGTGCAAATTTTAAATATGTAGCTTAAAAATCCAAGGGTCACACTATTTAGGACAGAACAGATTCCACAGTGTAGTTTGTGTTACATGCTTTACTGGCTGTCACTATGGATAGCACACTATTTCTTTGCTCTCCTTATTCTCCCAACACACCCTAAGAGCTACCTTCTCTGTCCTATTCCCCAAAACACAAAGTCTTGTTCATAAAGTCGAAAAAGGGCTGCTCTTACTCGGAAAAGGCTGAGAGATAATCTGGTTTTTCACTACAATGTGAGGGATTTGTGATTTAATTTGAACAGCTTCCCGAGAGAGCTGTGCAAAAATTTCTTTACATAAGAGAACATTCTGTGCCGCTTCTAATTTTGTCTGCCAATGCGGGGAACCTGAAAGACAAGAAATATATGTATCAATTATCTAACCATATTATGCATTAATTAGTTTAAATGGTGATCTGAATACATATGACAAAAGTTTAGAAAAACACTACATTACAGTATATTCTTTTTTTTCTATTCAGTCTCTATAGAGACTGTCAAAAATTGCCAATGCCAACTGTTCCAAATCATCCCAGCAGGGTACTGAGAAGTTCCCTGCCACCCCAAGCTTTCATTCCTAAAGAGGAAGTTTCAATTCCTGAAGAGGGAAGCATCAATTAGCAATAATCATGCCAGAGATAAACCTCATTGGATATGATACTACCACTGTGCAAAGCTATATTCTTTCCAAATTATAAAAATCTCACTTCTTTAACAGAGAAAACCAGTAAATAAGTCCAATCTTTAAAAAAAAGTTGCCGGTGGCTCACGCCCTTAATCCTAGCACTTTGGGAGGCTGAGGTGGGTGGATCACCTGAGGCTGGGTGTTCAAGACCAGCCCAACCAACATGGAGAAACCCCATCTCTACTAAAAATACAAATGTGGCGCATTCCTGTAATTCCAACTACTTGGGAGGCTGAGACAGAAGAATCGCTTGAACCTGGGAGGTGGAGGTTGTAATAAGCCGAGATGGTGCTACTGTTCTCTAGCCTGGGCAATAGGAGAGAAACTCGGTCTCAAAAAAAAAAAAAAAAACTGCACAGCTATTCACTAATGGTTTATTGACAAATTTTAGAAGTATATTTTGAATTGTTCTTACTTCAAAATATCTATTTTTCCTACCCATATTTATCTTCAGTTTATTTTAAAACGTCAGCTCAAATAAGACCAGAAATTAAGAGGATAGAACATAACCATACCTGGTTTGGATTTGGGCAAAGGTCGTTTGAAGAGGTTAACGGTGCCGAGGTCGCCTATATCTGGAGCCTGTTTTTGTATTGAAACCTACATGACAACAAAAACAAAAAGGGTTAACAAATTAACTTCAGGCTATTCATAAGAAATTACTTGAAAAATATTTTGACAAATACCTTGATATATGCAGACCCCTCTAAATCACTAGGAATTTGGACATCAAGAGGACAGTAATCTTCAGGTATCTTTTTATCCAGATCAAGATCTGTATTCTTTATTACTTCAAATGTACCGTGATGAGGAAAGAGAGATCCTAATGTTGTATTAAAAACAGGAAAATAAAAAATAGTTAACATATTATTCTGACACACATTATTAAGTATATAATACTTGACATCCACATCACTGAATCACAAAGTTCCCACTAAAAAACAAGTTTTGGGGGAAAGGGTGAGGAGTGGTGAGCAAAGGAAAGAAAGATAACAGTGTTGGGGGGGGGGTAAGTTATTTACCTTAAAAAAATAACACTTCTTAGTCTAATGACATCATTGTAATAAGAATTCCACAGAAAATCCAAATTGTTTTATTCTAATGGAGTATTGATAAAAATGGGTGTACTCACAGGGCGAGTGCAGTGGCTCACGCCTGTAATCCCAGCACTTTGGGAGGCCGAGGTGGGCGGATCACCTGAGGTCAGGAGTTCAAGACCAGCCATGACCAACATGGAGAAACCCCCGTCTCTACTAAAAATACAAAATTAGCCAGGTATGGTGGCGCATGCCTGTAATCCCAGCTACTCGGGAGGCTAAGGCAGGAGAATCGCTTGAACCCAGGAGACGGAGGTTGTGGTGAGCTGAGATCGCACCATTGCACTCCAGCCTGGGCAATAAGAGCAAAACTCTCTCTCAAAAAAAAAAAAAAAAAAAGAAAAAAAAAAAGGGTGTACTCCTAGAAAACAATTCCTCAGATTGACACCTTGCGGATGAAATACTTCTGGAGCTTAGCCTCTCTACTAAGGTTTCAACTAAGTGCTCTGCATCCAACAAACAGAAAGACAGAGGATAGTGCACACAGCAACTTTTTTTCAACCAGTCTCCTAGATTTTTTACTTTATTTTTTATTATCTTTTTAGAGACAGGGTCTCCCTCTGTCTCCCAGGCTGCAGTGTGGTGGTACAATCACAGCTCACTGTAGCCTCAAACTCCTAGGATTTAACAATCCTACCACTTCAGCCTCCGAAGTAACTAGGACTGCAGGTACATGCCATCACACCCAGCTAATTTTTAATTTTTTTTTTTTTTTTTAGATATAGGGTCTATGTTGTCTAGTCTGGTCTTGAACTCCTGTGCTCAAGCAATCCTCCCACCTTGGCCTCCCCAAGTGCTGAGATTACAGGTGTGAGCCACTGTGCCCAGCCCAGTTCCTAGATCTTATGTGATGTGTTTTTGTGTAGTTCAGAAATTTGGGTGAGTTGCTCTGGGCCACTGAATTATGTAAGAAATAGATGGTTCAATGTAACTGGTTTTATAACAAGGGAAGATGCTAAAGATTTTCTTGCAATTAAAAACAATGTGATCGAATCCTTTCATAATCATGAGTGACTACCCCAAAGAAAGAATTAAAGTTCCTATACACAAATTATTTGTGGAAAAGAAAATATCCAAAACGAGAAAGCACTGCTTCTACAGACCACCTATTAAAATTTTTAAATGGTCTTGTCATCTTTAATTCATCTTTATGATGAGATTTAACCTTCAGGATTCAAAATAGCCCAATTAATAATAGTGTTGAAGCATGTCATTCCTCCACTATTTGACTTAACCACCTTAACTTACCTTTTTTTAATTTTAGGATAATGA